CCTGTTACTACATTGCTTTCAAAATGGAAGGCTGGGCAGACCAGAATTTTTGCTATGTCTGAGTTAATTTTTGGAGGGGTAAGTGCTTTGTAATGTAAAGATCAAATACAGTTTTAACATCTTCTTAAAATGTATTAGGATTTATAAAGCACAGTATATTTTGGAGTAATAATTTCAAAACTTCTGAAAAAGAAACATGTCAGTGGTAGATGCAAAGTCATGTTTTCCAGCTGATCCACTGTGACAGATCTTTAGTTGAACAAGAGTTCATGTACACTGAATTCATGCAGAATGGTAAATTTTCTGTATTCATCATTGTATAATAAATCTGGAACTGGAAAATGCATTTAAGTCAGAGACTATAAAGAAGCTTTGTGAATTGTAGCTTCAAAATAGAAAATCTCAAGCCAAACAGTGTTCTTGTAATTGCTAGAACCTAGTCATGATTCTCTGTAATTTGGTCAATTCCATGAACTGTATCAAGTAAAGCAGTAACCTGGGTGTCAGAAAAGAGTTCACAAAAATGGAATTTCTACTTTAATTTAAAAAGACTTTCAATATTACTTTTTGAGTCTTGAGAAAGTGACTGATCACAGCCACCTTTGCCGGGTCTGAGGAACTCCCAGATTGATTTATCTGTGCTGGTAGTTGGTGAGAAGCTGATACCATTGGCAGTAATATCTCTCTTGGTTGTCATTCCCCTGGATGACACTGCAGAACTGTATCACCCTTATGAGCAACCCTGAATTTCGGCATGTTCTGTGTTGCACAAGGGGCTTAATGACCACTATGATCACTCAGAAGTCCTGAAAGTAAAGGTCTAAAAGAGGCATGCTCTGGTAGGAAAGAAAGTCTTGACATTTAGGAGCTGAAAATGTCACCTCTAAAGAGCTGGAAAATTTTGAGTAGCGAGTTTAGAAAGTAGTTTGCAGAAATTTAGTTTCACTCGTGTTACTAGTTTCAGTGAGGTCTGTTAACTGTCATTGGCACAGTGTGAATGATTTTAATCTAAAGGGTAGACAGCATTCTGCCACTTCAAACATGTGCCAAGAAAAAAGATGATGGAGAGGGTACCCAGAAAATGCCCTTTTCTGTCATTAAATCTTCTGTGAGCTACTTTGCAAGACTCTCAAGTGCCAGGCCATTTTGCTTATGCTGGGATTAGTCTTCTTATTAGATCTTCTACTGCAGCAGCAGCAGATGTGTTTTCTGGCATGTCTGTATCCACCACACCTGTGGTTCTTAACCATTCAGAGCAGGAGAAAATGCCTTCCCATGCTTGACCTGTCTTTGTATAGTCTTGTTTTTCAGGTTTTTTTCTTATACATACTATAGTAAAAGTGTCATGACATTGCATCCCGTTGCTGTGAAGTACAATGTTATAATTGTACCAGAGCAAATGTGACAAGTCATATATATGTGCATTTGAGATGTAATTCTTCAAAGAGTAGTGAACATGAAGGTGGCTGGACCTATTTACAAGTAACAAAGGAATGCAGACTCTGTAGAAAGTGTTTGCAGGGATGTTCCTTCTCCAGTACAGCTTCTCCTTTTTCAACATGTAAGTGATGGAGCAATTAGCAGACTTAGATAACTTCTGCCTTCCATCACAGATTATTACTTCATTTGTAGATTAAACAGGAGAGGTTTACAGTGTGTTTTCCATGTAAAGTAGTTTAGCATTTCATGTTTCTCTGTCAGACACAGCGAAAAAAAAAAACAGTGGCAGAAGCTGATGCCTGTGTATGTAGCTGTGGCAGAGTTGTGATATCTTTTGAGAAATAGGGTGTGAACATGTAATTAAAGACTACGGGAGACATTTTACACTTTGTGGCTAAGGTTAAAAAAGAAATGTAGCTCCTCAGTTCTGTGATGCTGCACAGGAGAAGCTTGTTCTGAAGGAGAGACTTGAGGGTTTTTTCCTAGGAGGACTCCTACGTGTACTAGAAATAGATGGGTGCAACATGCCCTAGTTACGGCCCTTGTACAAGGGGCGGCACATCGAGGATGATGCGGTGGGAGCAAGCCAGCTCCACAGCCACTGGCAGCAGGGAAGGCATGGCAGGGAGAGCTCCAGCTGCTCCTCTGGCACCTGCAGCCCATAAACAGGACACGCTTGCACAGAAAAGAAAGTGTTCACATTGTCTCCGCTGTTTTCCTGAGTTGTGACAGGAGGAGAGAAAAGGCAGGAATGGGGACACAGCAATGAAGTCCTTACCTTGGGCTTTGCCACTCACCAGGGCAGGGAAGAGAAGGGGTCTCTGCTCTTTCACATTGCCCAGGACCTCTCTGTCCTGCCTGGATGGTCCACAGCAGGATGAGTGGCACGTGGGTTAATCACAGTTCCAGGAATAGTCCTACCATTTTCCTGAGAAACAGCCTGAGATTAGGCCCTCTGTCTTCTCTGTCACACATTTTGGGGGAACTGTGAATACTGGTCTTGTGGGACTGTTTGACCAAAGTAATCTTGGCACAAGGAGCAGTTAGCTGTCTCCCTGTACTTGAGGAAAAAAAGCTATAGGAAATGCAAGTTTATCCCCTCAAAAGTTGGCAGATGATGTAGTCAGCTGCAGTGTCTAAAATTCTGGGATTTTTTTATTGAGTAAAAAACTTACTGCATAAGCTTCAGGTTATGTCCCATTAAGTGAGACTTCAGGATCCTTTAAATACACTTGTGTGACTATGGCTAAACCCAGTGTAGCTAAAGCTGCTTTATTAATTACATTAATGTTGGGTTGTAACATGCTAAAAATACTAGTGCTGAAAATCTTGGTAATTTCTTATTTTCAGCATGGCTGTGTTCTTTATATGTATTGTCAAATCACTGTGCTGGAGCTGGACCAGGGTTATCACAGACAGGGCTTTATTATTTGAGCAAAGGTATTTCTTTGTTATTTCAAAAGGAAACAGAAGATAGGTGATAAGCTAACAAACTCACAATGGGTGGAAGTTCATTAAAAATATATGTCCTTGTTGTGTGCATGATGTATTTAGATGTTAAGTCCTTTGGAGCAGCAGGTGTTTGTACAGTGTCATTACAATGGGGCCTCACGTGTCACCAGATTTCCAGAGCTGATGGCAATCAAAGATGGCTTTTTGGCTTGCTGGCAAGGTCATCGGGGTCAGGGAGATGGTGCTTGTGTACAGGGAGAGAGGCAGTGCAGCTGTGAGGAGCAGTGGGGTGCTGGGCAGGGGACTGGGACCAGCGCCTGCCACGCAGAGCCGAGTGTGTTTCTTTTTGGTGGTGTGTATGTCAGAGGTAGTATGTTGCTTAAGTTACTTTCCAAACACATTTTCCCCCCCTTTTAATATAAATATTGCATTAAGCAGTGGTCTGGCTTCATAATACACAAGTAGGTCCAAGTGCTGTCATGACTACCTTGCATACCACCTGCAGATACAGCTTAAAAATACGCCACGTGCCAAATGAAGCAGGAAGAGCAGGCAATACACTCTTAATTCCTTGACTTGTGCTTAAGTCTGGAGCACAGGATAGCAAGGGTGTGATAAAATATCACACCTCTGCCTTTTGATATCACTTTCACTGACAGCCATTTCAGGCAGGTGATGGAAATCTGAACCATTTTCCAATACTGTGAGCAGGTGGAGTTGGTTGCTGAGCACACTGTGCATTTAACCTTTGCAATAGTGGAAGCACAAGTAAAATACACCTGTAAAATGGTTGTTTCACCCTCCATTTGAGACACCATGAAGGTAAAGCAGCAAGGTTAGTGACTAGTTAGATGCACAGAGGTACCACTATAGTATTCCCCCTGGAATCCTTGCCATAAGGAAGCGTGATAAAACCTCTCAAGTTCACTGATCTGCAGTTAATTTTTTTAGAGAATAAGCATGCTAGCAATGCTAGAAGTGTAATGAAAAGACACTTTTGCTTTGTGAAAACACCCAGGCCAGTACATCTTTTTGCTTGTTATGGCAAGGAGCCCTGTCTCCACTGTTTCCCCTGGTCATTCCTGACTTTCTGGGAGCACAGTGGAGCTGAGAATCGCCCCAGGCACAGATGCACATTGAGCTCCTCCGGGAGGTGCAGGGCTTCCACCTCCTCTGATAGGCACGGCGCTGAGGGTACACACCCACCTACAGCCAGGCCCTGGGTTCAGCACTGCCCTCCAGTATTCTGACACATAAATTTCCCTCTCTGCGTGTTCTCACACATGTGCAGGAGAAGACACCAGGTGTGTGAGACACAAACGCCTCCCAGGCAGCCTGAGGACACAGGACGCTGTCCCACAGGGGATGTTTTCCCACATGGGATGCTGTCCCATGGGGGACATTGTCCCACATGGGATGCTGTCCCACAGGGGACATTGTCCCACACAGGATGCTGTCCCACAGGGGACATTTTCCCACATGGGATGCTGTCCCACAGGGGACATTGTCCCACACAGGATGCTGTCCCACAGGGGATGTTTTCCCACATGGGATGCTGTCCCACAGGGGACATTGTCCCACATGAGGCACTGTCCCACATTGGGTACTGTCCCACACAGGATGCTGTCCCACAGGGGACATTTTCCGACATGGGATGCTGTCCCATGCAGGACGCTGTCCCAGGGGGAAGTTTTCCCACACAGGGCACTGTCCCACAGGGGACGTTTTCCCACACAAGGCACTCTCCCACACAGGACGCTGTCCCACACTGGGCACTGTCCCACAGGGGACGTTGTCCCACACGAGGCACTGTCCCACACGGGGCACTGTCCCACATGGGATGCTGTCTCACAGGGGACATTTTCCCACACAAGACACTGTCCCACACAGGACACTGTCCCACACAGGGCACTGTCCCACACGGGGCACTGTCCCCCATGGGATGCTGTCCCACAGGGGACGTTTTCCCACACGGGGCACTGTCCCACAAGGGACACTGTCCTGTGTGAGCTGTGCCTGAGCCCAGTTAGGCCAGCGCAGGCCGGGGGGCGCACTGCTGTCCCCACGTCACCTAAAAGCGCGATCACGCTTTCCCTTTCTCTCCACAGATAATCCTGAAATAGCCGGCAGGAGCGGGACGGAGTGTCACGAAGCCTCCCTGCGGACGGCCAAGCACGGCTACTGTACATACTACCCCGTCTCCTCCTCTCTAGAGTTGCCACAAACTGCATGCTAAGTCAAGAATTTGTTCTTATGGACAAATCAAAAACTCAAAAAAGCTAGTGCTGCTATGTCATATATGAATATTAAATATGGTATGCTTACTATACTCCAACCTAAAATAGTTAACTACCTGATACCAGCTGTGATGTTTCAAGACATAAAGGATAACATTTAGTTTTAAAGGTTTTCTAAGCATAGTTTAATTATTGCAAATATTGTCGTTTCTCCATAACTACACCTAACGAAAATGGTCCAGATCAGTTAGTCTCGTGAGATTCCACATTTATGAATCTTTCGAGCTCAGCAATAATTGAATTGCATTCACTAAAAACTCTCCCCAGTTGCAGGTTTAATTTTCACCCAAACTATGATTCGGGGTTTTCTTCTCAGTTAAAAAATATCTTGGTTTTGCTCCCTTGGTGAGTTGATTCCAAGACAGGGGAGGTGAAACGCAGCCCGGTGTCCTGCACATCATCCTGCCAATCTGATATTTTTAGCCAGAAGTCCAAAGTAAAGCACAAAGTCTTTAGATGCACATGGTTGGTGTTTGACTTGTATGGAGAAGTTGCATTTGAATCATAGCAGAATAGCAGAAGAAAATTTTAAAAATTTTGCACAGTATGAACTTCATACCCCTTTCAATCCCCAAAAGAACAAAGTCTTGAAAATATTATTTTACGAGTATATTTATAATGTTTTTAAAATAGACTTTGCAGAAGTGCCTAAATTTTGTCACATCAGACTTGATGAAAGTGAGCCTGATGCCAACAGTCAAATCTCATCAGACGTGAATAATCTTTGAAACTCATAGTCAGGTTACCAAAAAGATCCAAGCTGTTAAGAAGTAATTTCTAGAAGTGTAAAATCAAACAAAACAAAAAAAAAAAAAACAAGACCAAACTAACAAAAGGAAAGGCAAAAAAAAAAGGCTGTAGATGAAGAGATTGTATGATACTCTAATTTAATTAAAATTCAGTTGAGTCACTGAGACTTCATAGGTGACTTTAATCTAGGCTATTAACTCAACACTAAGAATGTAGAATAAGATTCAGTTTAAATTACTGTATTTGCATTTTTTAAATTGGATTATAAGATTGTAACCAGATTAGAGTGGAGAAAAAATAGTTCTTTTAATTGTTTTCCTTTAAAAACATATTTTATGTCACAAAAGTATGAAGATATCTTTAATACAATTATATACATGTTATATATACATACATACATATATATGGATGAAGCAGATTTTAATGTTGTTTACTTTTTTAAATACTTTGTTGATTTACAAGGTAATTATATATGTATAATTAAAATTTCATTTGTTTGATTTGAGATTTGTTTCAAGCACTATTGTACCAAATATTTCATATTTCACATTTTATATGTTGCACATGTATCACATAAATGACATAGTTTTTAAATTATTGTTTAAAAAAAGCAAGACAGCTGTTATAAGTGGATATTATGTATAATTGTTTGCAGCATAAGTTTTCTATGTGGACATTACTAGTGATTGCAGTATTTTAACTTAACCTCTTCAGATTGATTGTAAACTATTTTAAACCTTGGCAGCACTGCCTGTTCTGAACGACTGAAGGCACTAACCATATTATTATTTGTCTAGGAAATTATTTTCCAGGCTAAATCTTGTTTGTCCGATGTCTAATTACTATCTATTTATATATAAAGCTGGAGATTTGATCATCCGAAAGAAAAAAAAATAATCACAATTTGGTTGTAAAATTAACATAGTGCTTGTAACGTTGCGTTAGTTTAATTTGTGGAAAAATAACGTATCTTAACTTGTTATTTAGCAGTTAAGGTATCACCATTATATACTATTAAAACACTAATATTTGTAGACTTTCTCAGTCATTATAACTAGGTAGTTGACACTGCAACTTGCCTATATCTGTCAAAGTTGTTTTTATTTTTTTATAATAGTTAATTTAGGCATTTGGGTAGCTTATTGTATAATACTAAATGGTAAATTATCCATGTTTAAATATTTTATGTAGATAACTCTTCAAGACATCATTTTGTGTGAACTTTTTATGTTTCAAAATTACTGTTATTCTATGTTTTTTACAATTAATCCAATATTACTATTTTTTGCCCATGGATGACGAAGCTTCAGATACATCAGGTCTTTCATCCAGATAAACTGACAGACAAAAAGAGAAAATGTATTTTTAATAAGAGATCCACTTTCCGACTTTATGACTTTGTAATATTCCTGAAAACTGTACAAGTACAAACCTATGCTAACAGTAAGGAGGCAATTACAGAGATGTGCAAATACGTGTACAACAGATTCTGCATTTTATTTATTTATAAAGTAATTTTATAGACTATTTCAAAATTTGGGAAGATCTAAAACTATTTTTCTGTATAAATATTATTTGCCAAAACTTTGTTTATATTTTAAAAAAAAGTCTAATGAAAATGATTAAATTTTAAATGCTTTGTTTAATTAAAAAAATACAACAAGAAATATAACCCCCTAAAAGAACCATGAGATGGGCCAACACGGAGACAGTAAATACTGTAGCTGGGACATGGTTTCAAGTGACTTGAGATGTCTCAGTGCTTATTTTCTTCAAAGGATACAGCACCTCACCAAAATACCTTTTTGTTTGCCTCTCTCATCCAGCATAATTGACGACACGTACAATGAATATTTCAGTAACAGTTAAAAGAAACCCCTCCATTCACTCTTTTCCAGCATATATAATTACTAGTGGTCTGTTAAATAGCCATTCTATTTCTGTTGTGACGTTAAATTCATTCACCCAATGTACAACCACTGAAATAAAAAGAAGCATTTTAAAATGAGAGCGGAGTCGGGGCGATCCTTTCTTGTGGCGCGCTCTGGGAAGAGGGGCCTGGGGTAACAAAAAATAGGAATCTTTAAAAGTATGTATTTTTTAAATTGGATTTTTTCCTTAATTGCTTGTTCAGGTAACAAATCCATAAGTGCAATCCCCAAGTGCAGGACATGCAGACCCAAGGAAGCCCATGCCCTTCTGCACCACACGCCTCCAACAGCCATCCTGAGCCCTTCCCACCCACCCGTGCATGCCGGGGTGCAGGCAGGCACTGGTTATCCCAGGGCTTGGCTCACAATTGCCTGACCATTGTGGAGAATTTTTGGTGGCACATCCTTTGCATCTTCTTTTCTTTCCTACATCTTGAAGAGTGTAGCAGATAATCCCTGTTATCTGCTAGTTCCTCTGGAGAGAGCAGTATCACAGAGGAGTTGTGTGCCAACAGGCAGGGATTGCATGGCAAACTAGTGACAGAGGAGGGATTAAATTAAACACTCTGGCTGGCAGCTCTGTGGTTACTTCACACTGCCTTCACTGATTTATTTTTTAAATGCTTTTAAAGAAAGGAAATACAATCCTGCAGAATCAAGAAGAGTCTGTGTCATAAAGTTGTCTATGTTTCATCAGCACAGGGCTGGTTTGAAAGGAGCCCAGAGTCACAAGAGATGAGGAAAACCACCAAGTCAACCAGTCCATTTGGATATATCACAGACATACTGAGCCAGAAGCCTGCTGAGAATGAGTATGTGGGATGGAGAGGAGAAATAGGATGACTTGCAGGGACAGGGAAGGACTGGAGCATTAGAGAGCTGCAAGGGCTTTGTAGAGCAGGAGCAGCAAATGATTAAAATTCAACTCCTAATGACTCAGGAGCGGGAAGCCTGTCTGTTGACACTTTATTATGTTAAACCCCACCCTGGACAGTTGTCAGCTGCCAAGAAGGGTCACTTTTCTTGTCTAAAAGCTGCTTTGTTTCTTGTCAACTTTGACACTTTCTTGGCATTGGAGAAGTGCTCATGGATACTGTGAGCCTTCAGGGGCCACAGCAAACCCACAGTGTCTTTATGTGTCCACGTGCAGAGTGGCCCCCCTTCAGATAACATCAGAGTTTCCAAAATGGAGCATGCTACTTCTAGAGAAGAGCCTTTAGAAACCTTTGGTTTTCCCCCCTGCACTTGGCCATGCACCTCCCCTGGCCCTACATGGGGTAGCCATGGCCATAAGACTTATTCTCTATGTTTTGCTTGGTTGTCAGTTCAAAAATCTGAAGTAATCTGAGCACTGTGGTGTTCTCGCAATCCACTGGAATTAAAAGCATGGAACAAAAGGGAATGTGACATTTGAGGGATCAGAGACTGTTAGGATAGTTTTGCATGTTTGTATCCAGCAAAGGAAGCCAAAACTGGTTGAACCTTGTTCATGCTGCTCTTTGGGAATGACTCTTGAGCAAGTTACTAAAACAGTAACTGGATTTTCTTTCCAAAAGAGTCGTTTCACTCCAGAAGAGAGCTCAGGAACAACCCAACATTTCTGTACTGTGGGTGACAATAGATAAAAGGACTGGTGAGCAAGGCTGCTCAACAGTGCAGGCATTGAATCTCCTGCTACTGACATTTATTGCATGAATTCATGGGACCAAAAGAAATACCTCGCCTGGAACTGCTGAACACCTTCCTTGGCATCTGATCCTACGGTCATCTGAGCATACCGTGCTCTTTATGCCTGCAATCAGTTCTCTAGCCAAGCCTTTTGTCCTGTAGCCTGCCTTTTTAATGTCATATAATTGACAGTTCTGGGGGCTTTTTCACATGGGTCAAGATGATGTTTATTGCTGGAGTGGGTGTTTGTGAGAGCAAAATCACCTCAGCTGTTGCTTTATTGCTGGTATGTAATGTATTTGAGCATAAATAGGTATGCAATAGATAGTTTGATTATCTGTGAATGGATAAATTATGGAAATGCATTCTAAAGTGTTAGTCTTCTAATTCTGTAATTATAAAAACCATAGAAATTGTCAAAAATAAATTACATGTTTAATTACATGAAAATACCTTCTGCTGTAACAGGGGGGAAAATGCAATACTTAGAAATGTGAAAGGAAGGTATTGGTGTGAGGTGCTTACTCAATGCTGGGTTGCAGTTGCATTATTTCCATCAAGGCTTCTTGCAATGTGAGGAAGACACTTGGCTTTATGATTTAGGAAAATCACTACATGAAAGACGCCCTGCTCCTCTCATCTTCAAAGGACTGGATTTGGATACTACTTTTAAGGAAAACAAATTCTGGTGACTGTCTTCCTTAGCCTTAATTGTCACAAAAGAGTCAAGGTGTGGCCTGTGTGGTTCCTCAGAGGGCTACCAGACCAAAGAGATGCCAGGATGTGGAGGTGGTGAGGGGGACCACAGTGGTGTGAGGTTCACCTTGTAGGAAGAGCCCCCAGGGATGGCCATGCCGGTGCTGCCTGTGCTAAACCTGAGCTGTGTTTGCATTTGCCATGGCTGCCTCTCCTTTTCACACAGGGCTAGAAGGGGGAAATGCTTTTATTTCCTTGGGTTATGGTTGTAGCCACTGCACTGAATGCCAGCGGAGCACATCCAGAGATGCTAAAGATGGTAGCTCACAGCACAGCTCAGGACTGCGAGTAGGCAAGTTTTTCACACTTGGAAAACTGCTAGAGTGGGATCCAGATTTCTGTCTGTAGCTGTGGAGTCTCAGATGGGACACTGCAGAGTACCCACTTGGCCTAAAGCTGCTGCTATGGAGGAGCACAGGTCTGGGTGAGTGTGTTAAGTCTGCCAGCCCCATGCAGATGTCTCAGATACTCTACAACACCTTAGATGACTTTAGTCAATGAATCCCGCCTGTTTTCACAAAGGACAATGGTTTTGATGGCTTTTAAAATACCCTTTGTGCACAAGAAATCACAAAATCATGAGATTGACTGAAACTGTCTGATAGTTTAAAATCCTGATCTTCTCTGTAGGTATTTGGAGGATGTTCAGCATGCATATTTAATCTTTTTCTCTCCTACTATGGTACCTAGAAATTTTTTTCATGTCACCTAACGTGTTCCTCCGCTCACAGATGTAAAGCTAGAGCAGTTCACAAAATTCTTGAGAAACTCCTGAAAATTTACAACAGGAATTCAAGCAGGTCTTATGTCTTACCACGTTGTAGGGAGGCGTGACAAAATACGGTAACCCTTAAGGATGATATGATTTCTTCAGACTTAACTTCCACATGGACTTTATTCAGTTATTGTGCCAAACAAGGTGTGATGTTATCAGTACAACATAGGCTGAGTGCAGTTGGAATGGGATGGACTGTCCCTGTATGCAAATAAATTGCTCTGTTTAACATGTGAAATGACTGTACCCTACTCTAACCAAATTAGTTATTAGTTATATTGCTTTAATTTCTCTAAGTCCTGATAACAAGCTGTCCTTGGACAGGCATTGGTAAAGCCTACACATTCATTTCTAGGTTTAAGATAAATGATTATGAAAGGCAAGAGTCCCATTTTGTGTCCTTCCTCAAGCCAGATGGGCTCAAAAGAAAAGCTACATAAGCAACTACAAGTGAAAGAAAACTCACATGGAAAAAAGTGGTCAGCCTTAAGCAGATTTCAGTGGACTTTCTAACTACAGAATTGGATAGAAAGTTTTCCTTTTCTATTAACCTTAAAAGTGGCTACTTTATACCCATTCCAAAGGAAATAAATGAGGTTGAACTCTTCTAATAGAAAATCAATGCAGTCCTCAACGAGTGTGAACTTTGCAGGAGCAATCACTGGAGGAAGTCCCTGGGCTGATGGTGCTGCCCATTCTTCTGCTGTTATCTCAGAATTCATGGTAAGTGCTTCTGGGCAGGAGTAGAAGCATGCTGGCAATTCCTGCTGTGGCAAGGGAGTTCTCATTTTATTTCCTTTTAATTAGATCATGGGAGAGGCTACACCTCTTCAAGTCCAGTTTTGTCTGGAGTTGCAGGTATGTATGGGAGCTTTTGTTTGGTGTTTTTCTCACCAACTTGTTAGATTGATTGCTCTGGGGTGCCCAACATAAGGAGGATGTGGACCTGTTGGAGTCAGTCCAGGGAAGGGTCACAAAGATGATCAGAGGGCTGGGGCACCTCTCCTGAAGGTAGGCTGAAAGAGTTGGGGTGATTAATTGGAGAAGAGAAAGCTCCAGGGAGACCTTAGAGCACCTTCCAGTACCTAAGGGAGGCCCATAAGAAAGATGGGGACAGACTTTTTAGTAGGGCCTGTTGTGATAGGACAAGGGATAACGGTTTTAAACTAAAAGAGGGTAGATTTAGATTAGATATAAGACAGAATTGTGGTTTTTACAATGAGGGTGATGAAAAACTCAAACAGGTTGCCCAGAGAAGTTGTGGATGCCCTATCCCTGGAAACATTCAAGGCCAGGTTGGATGACACTGAGCAACATGGCTGAGTTGATAACAAGCTGCCTATGGTAAGATTACATTGAAAGATCCCTCCCAGCCCAAACCATTCTATGACTCTATACAGAGAACCTAAAAAACAAATTAAACCAAATTAAATCTAATTATCAGCCAGCTCAGCACTTTCTTACTTGCAGCCACTCTATTTGCCAGATGTAGCAGAGTGTGGATTGCCTGAACAGTGGCAGCAGTTTCTTCCTGAGCATCGTTTTCTGTGTGCAGGTAGAACAGAAACATGCTTTTACCACACTAAGTGCAGGCCTTTTGCATTCAGACCCGGGGTTCTTGTACATGCAAAAGCAGACTGACTGAGGCTTTGCCAGAGGGTAACAACATTGAATTTGTAGGCAGAACTGCTTCTTCTGAAGACTTCCCAGCCCTGCTGCCTACAGAGGTGCCTAGTGTGACCCCTCCTCCATCACGCTGGGGCCCACAGCAGGGTGCTCTGCATTCCCAATCCTGCCTGCAGCTCCTTCTTGCTCTGGCTTTCACCCGAGCTTGTCTTCTAAGCATATATGCACCATGGGAACCCCATGCCTCCTGCT